CAGGCAGTGTGGAAAGGGATGGGCAGAGCTGGGAGCCTCAGGCAGATGAAACATTCCAATCTGCCAGCTCCTTGGCACTGCAACACCTCCTTGAGCAAGACACTGCTCCAGATACCACGGGCTCTGGTGAGAACTGGTGAGCAAACAGTTACAAACCAAACATTCCCATCAAACAAGTATCCACAACAACCTGCAGCATCTTTACTCCACCAAATCCCAGCTGAACTCCACAGCAACTTCCAGAGGGGGCACAATCCACACAGGGATGCATCCACCTCACTGCAGCAGCTGGGGAGCACAGGCTTCACTCCTGTGTGACGAGCAGGCATGTCCTGAATATGAGAGCTGATAGTACTGCCCCTCCTCTGTGGATACACAGAGCACGTCTTGGTCATCCCCCTCTGGTTCCACAGCCACATCTGTCCTTTGCATGGAGGCTTAGGAAGGGAGATGGACCAGCTGGACCCCAGAGATCCTTCCAACCCCAACCAGTCAGTGATTCTTGAAAGGGGAAAAACAAACTCTCTGAGCACACCCAAATCCATGCAGGGTGCTGATAAAACCCAGGGATGTGTGCCTGCCCCACCCCAGGTTTGTTGGGGTACCTGTACTGCTGAGGCTGCCAGACCTCCAAAGGCTGATGCCCAGTCTGATATGTGATGACAGAAAACAGAAGCTGGCAATTACCAGTGATTCTCTGCAGTCACCTGATGCTTCACCAGGAGCTTTTTTTCTGAGAACCTCATTTCTCTGGGCCCTGGTTTCCCCAACAAGAAACACACAAAATCATTTAGTTGGGAAAAGCCCTCTAAGTACATCGAGTCCAACCGCTCCCCCAGCACTGCCAAGACCACCAGTGATCCATGTCCCCAGGTGCCACATCCACATGCTTTCTGAACACTTCCAGTGATGGTGACTCTACCACTGCCCTGGGCAGCCAGCTCCAACGCCTGACCACCTTTCCTGTGAAGAATTTTTTCCCCAGCATCCAACCTGAACCTCCCCTGGCACAACTTGAGGCTGTTTCCTCTTATCCTTGTCCCTTGTTCCCTGGGAGCAGAGCCTGACCTTCACCCAGCTGCACTCTCCTGTCAGGGAGTTGTGGAGACCCAGAAGATGCCACCTGAGCCTTCTTTTCTCCAGACTAAACACTGTCCTGATGTCCTTCAGACACTTCTGCTTGTGCTGCTCTCAGAGCTGAAGTGCCACAGGAGGGGGGGGGTGGGAAGGAACAGCACAGAGCCACATTCCTGCTCCACATAGCTCCCTCCATACTTCCATATGCCAAAGTTCAGTTATTAAAATCTCCACCAGCCTCAAAACAAGTCAGAGCCCACAGAAGAGGCCTCTCTGATGCTGTCCAGCAGTTCTGACTTGCTGCTGTTCATGGATTTGAGCCAAGGGCTCACAAACACTCAGGACACTCAGGCTTGCCTAGAGATTTTCCCCAGTAATAAGTTGTACTTCTGGGGAGCAGAGGACGGCACAGCAAGTGCCCTCCCACCACCTGCCAACAATAAAAGCAGGTCCCCTCACTTCCCTCTAAAAGCAGGGAGATTTACATATTTTAATGTAAATTTTTACTTTTAGCACATCATAATAATAAAATAAAAGAATAATAAAAGAATGTGTTCCTCCCTCCACAGGCATTGAGACCTGGAGGTATTTCATTCTGCAAAGGCTTTTATAGAAAAATAAAAACCCTTTGCACAGCACTGTGGGAGAGCCTGCAGAGGAAATGAATATCCTCTGGAAGAGGAAGGCATTCAGAGAGCTTCAGCCAAATCAAGTAGTGGGCAGAGACACTTAGGTCAGCTGCACAGACCTTGCAACCCTTTCCCCAAAGGCCTCTCCCAGAAGTGAAATCCGGAAGTTATTGGTACTCAACAGGACTCTTTTCATGAATTCTGGGAGTGAGGGATAGGTGAACAGGAACATTCCCTTATATCTCATCAGGAAACAGTTCAGAGCCCGAATTCCTTCCCAACCCCTTAGAGTTGAAGGATGCACCCTGGAGAGGTGCCACCACCCTTCCAGCAGCAGCAGGAGAAACCACTGCAATCCCACTGCTCCCAAACCATTCCATGGTGGCAGCCACAGCCATGGAGCCATGTCCTGCTGCCAGCACCAAGCCTGTGGCCCTGTCCCTTCCTGCTCCCAGCTCCAGGAAGGGTTTGGCACATCAGGAAGCTTGGCCACGATGGATGCCCAGGCTCAGCTGAACGCTCCCACCCAACAACAGACCAGGCCAAGCACCTTCAAGCACATGAGCAAGACAGGGCCCAAGGGGACTTGTAGCTGAGCCAGAATTTGTCTGGCTGCACATAACTACCAGGAGTGAATTTAAACCCAACATCTTTGCCCTAAGCAGAGGTTTCTGCAATCAGATCCCTCCAACATGAATACCAAGTATTAGGTACCTCCAGTCTTTCAGGAGCTGTGCCCTCCTGGCACACTGGGAAAAGGACAGGCTCCTGTTTCAATGCTGAGACTCAGAAAGAGATTGTGCGGCCCCACTCAGAAAAGATCAGGTACTCAAATCTGGCTGTCACAAGTCTGCTACTTCTACCACTAAGGCCCTTTCTCTACTCCCTCTTGTCTCCCTGTCTTCCGCAGACAGGGACTTCCACACCATCAGCCTCATCCAGCCAACAGAAGACAGTGAAGCCTCCTCCCAGGTTCTAAAATCTTGAAAGCCAATCTGATTTCTCAGACCCTTATTTCCATCCCACCATGAGGGATGACTCCCCCAGCTCCCCCATCAAGTACAGACCAAAGTCACTCACTAAGTATGTGTGTCCCTGTTTTTCTGCCAAGGAAGCTTTGTGCTCATCCCTGAGACTGCCCAGAGCAGCTTGGCTCTGTGCTGCTCCAGCCAAAGAATTATCAGCTTTGAAGGTGGCTGCAGGCAGAGACAGAAAATCAGCAGGAAAAGCAAAGTCTATCCTAGAACTCCTGCCCAGCCTCAAATTGACTCCCCAGTACTCCACTTCCTTCCTACACTACATGACTCCAGGGACGAGGACATGCACAGGCAGGATACCTACCCTGACTTGTTCTATTGACTTACTTAATTTTTTAAAAGAATATATTTATCTGTTCCTCTCTGGAAACCAATCATCCGCTGCTCCTTGGCCCTGCTGTTCCCTGGGAGCAGCCCTTTGATGCCTGGCAGCCTGGCTGATCTCAGCAGGTCTTTTGAACCCACTTCCATAATCAGTGCCTGGAGCAAGCTCTTCCCACGCAACTCACTGCTCAGTGAATCACGGCCAGTGATTTTCCTGTCTCCAGGAACCACGCAGCACTGAGCTGGGATGAGTTCTGCTCTCCCTTGAGCAGGGGAAAGAAGGAATTATCACAAAAGCCAACCCTGTCCCCACAGGACACCGGCGTTATCTGCGCCACGACCGGCAGTTCCTGTTCTTGCCCCAACATCCGCTCCACCACCAAGGCTGGTTCTTCAGGAAATTTATTTCCACATGTCAAGATATCACTTAGTTCCTCAAACTACAGACTTGGAGTCATGAGCAGCCTCAGCTGCCACACACAAGACTGCGGAAACATGGCCTTTTCTAGTGGCCAGGGCCAGGGGTACACTGGAAGTTCCTAAATTTCAGTTCTGGCAGTATACAGCCATACTAGGGAGTATATCTGTGAGCTGAGACACCTTCCCAACTCCTCAAGGCAACAGAGGAAAAAACAGCAGTCCAGAAGGGATAATCCTACAGTAAGAACCCAGCTCTGTTTGCAGGATCCCTCTAAATCAGAAGGAACAAATCCACACAGCACAGATCACCCACCAGAGCTGTGGACCAGCCACACAGGTTACCACACACAAAGGAACTGAATTTGGGAACTGCACAAAATATCTTTTTTGAAGGTACTCAAGTCTTTGCTAGAGAGTAAAGACAACAACTTATTGGTTTCACACTGTTCCCAGCTCAACAAGAAGACCCAAGCCAGGGCCAGAAAGGAGCAAAGCCTGACAGTGCTGGGAGGCTCTAGAGTCATGCACCAGAGCCCAGGAAGCACATCCCAGGCCTCGCAGCAGCAGGGAGGCAGGAAAACAAGGACTGCACCAACATCACAGCAAACACCTCCAGGGGAACGCCAGGACAGCTCAGGGACACTCAGAGCAAGCAGCTATTCCTAAATGATCAGCAGCTCCAAACAGACTCAAGCAGGTATGGACACCCATCCAGGCTGGAGTCCACACAAAGCAGGCATTAGGCAAAGGCTCAAACGTTATCAGCACAAAACACAGCAGCCTCTGTAGCCAAGCCCCCAGGCAGAGGGGTTTGGGATGTTTTTGGATAAACCTCTCTACCTGTCAGAGACTGAATACAGGACACCAGCCCCCCAAAAACAAGAGAAACTCCTCACTGCAAGTGGCTGATGCGGAAGGGGCAGAGGCAACAGCTCAGAGACACATCTGAGGTGCTGATTTCATCGAGGTGGGATAGGAATGGAGGGCTGGAAACACTAATCTGTTTTTAAGAGTAATTCTGTTTTGGTACGTTTCATTCCTGTGGATCTGTTATTCAAAAGCATTTCACTGCTTTTGCATAAAAACAGCTTCTCTGGCTCTTCTGAGTCCAGAAACTCTTGCAACTTATTGCCACCCAACCTGGAGACACAGTCCTCCACTTGTGATGCTACAGTGTGGTTGGGAGGCCATAAAGAAAAGGAGCCACGAGAACATGGCAAGCGAGGAACTGAGATCCCATTTCCAGGCAGCCACCTTGACAATTTAGGTGAGTGTGAGTCCCGCAGTCCATTCTGCAGGAGACATCAGCCCCCCTGTGTAACGCCAGGGTTTGGCACCACTTAGATCAGTGGGAATTTGGCTCTGGCTTCCCGAGGAACTGAACTGAGCCTCTGAATGAAGGGACCCAACGCTCAGCAGGATGCAAAGCGAGTCGTGTCCGAAAGGCAGCGCTGTGCTGAAGCTGGGAGGTGAGCAGCTGAGCGGGTGAGCAGGTTCCACCCCTCCTCCTTACCTTCGCAGCCGGTGCTGTAAGTGCTGGTGCTGCCGTGTTATAAGGGCACTTTCCCACACGGGGCCACCGGGACTGCTCCTATACCAGCCCACGGCCGGGTGCCCCGGGTAGGGCGAGCTACTGAAGCCATGGTCCGACTCCGTCTCTGCGGCCAGCGATGAGGCAGAGCTCCCCATGGTTCCCCCCTGCCCAGGCCTGCTGAGACTGAGCCTAGGTTAGGTCCAAGCCAGTGGCATGGGCAGCTCGGGTGGAACGGGCGAGGCGCTGCGGCATGGGCTGCTGCAGAGATCCCAGCACGCTGGACAAAGGAAGGTCGGTTCTGATCAGAGTTGGAAAACAAAACAACAAACAAACACAGAGAAAGGGGAAAAAAAGGAAAGAAAAAGAGAGAAAGATAAGGTACGATTTCAGCATCAACCTCCAGTTTTAAAGCCTACCAATGCATGCTCTGATCAGGGTCCCCATCCCAGAGCTCACTGGGATGGGAAGGGCTGTGTCACTGAAGAGATGGGGAGTGTGGGGGCTCTAGAAGAGGCTCCCCTCAAGTTAAGCATCAGGAGTTCCTTGGCACAGGGAAGCACAGCAAAGCCCAGCACAAAGCCCTTCACACATGGGAAAGAAGCAGAAAATGGGACAAGGCAGGCCCACCTGGAGCCCAAGCAGCCCCTGGGGACTGCACACATCAGGTTAGTCTGTGCTCTGACTGGCACACCAGTTTTAGTTACTCAGCTACAAGGACTGGATGGCTTGTGTGCTTACATGTAAAATAAAATATACTTCTTTTCCTGTCTCCCACTAACACCCCGGTAGGACTGAAACTGGACGAACTGGGGATCTGCACAAATATTTTCTGTCACTGTTTACTTTCAGCTCAAGGCAAGTTTTAGCTGATCGTGAGCATGCCCCTACCCACAGAAGCAGGTCTGGGGCTTTGCTCCTCCTTTTCTTCCTCTCTCTTTCCAACTTTTCAGAATTTATTCTTCAAGCATCCTCACAATTAGACTTCAGAAACACTTCATGTTCTCTGTATTAAAAGAAGTTTAAACACACACAAGTCTCTCCTTCAAGTGAAAAGGCAGGACAATTTGGATGCGTGTCAGGAGCAATGGATCAAGGTAACATTTAACAGAGCAAGAAAGAAGTAACAAGGAAGATGGAAAAATTAGCACAGCTGAGCTTATTCAATTACCCACCAGGATTTAAGGAGATGAATGAACTACAGAAAGACCTTTGCGAAGAAACTACTTTTGCCATAAAAAGGCTGAGATGAGGAGTCCTAAAATACAGCTTTTCAATCCCAGGATTGATCTAAGGGATCAAGAAAGGCCTTGATAGATAATAGACTCTCAAAAGCAGCAGCTCAAGGAGCAGGTGCAATTTTGCTACAAGCTCAATACTAGAATGTGCCTGCATTAGGTCATTAACTGGAGAATGTTAACTGCTCTGTCACAGTCTCTGTAGCCTGCAAAGCCTGGATGAACCAAAGAAATCTGAAAAAGGCCCAAGAACACAGTTTTCTCTGCCTCCTCCTTGCTTTAATTGGGCTGCCTCGCTGCTGTACGTCAGCCAGACATCCCCACTACCCAAGAGCAAGGTTTCACTTTTTTCAAGCAGTTACTTTGTAACAAATCTGATTTTCTGGCTAAATGAAAGGCAGACGATGTAAGGGGAAAAGCATTTCCAAGTATCATCAACTCAATCTATGTGGAGACATCAGTCATCCCACACTTGCGGTGTCTCTGGCTTTTCCACCCCATCCCAAGGGCCCTACGTGCTCCAGCAGCAAAGGCACAGGGGATGCAGGTCTTACACCTACTAGAAGAACAAACTCTCTCTTACCTCAAAACTCGGGTTCTATCATAATAAAGTACATAAGTAAAGGCAAGCTGTGTAGAGCAGCCTCTCATTGCAGGCTGAGCCAAACAGAGGAAGGATGCCCAGGCATCAGTAGCTTTTTTCCCCCTTGAGCTGGGTTAAACTGCCACATAAAGCAATTCCACAGCCTGGTTCAAGACCAATTCCTCAAGCTGGTAAAGCAGAACCCTTTGCTTCCTCCTGCTGCCCATGGAAAGGCCAGTTTTAGCTCATCCCAAGAGAAGCCAGACATGCCTGCTGCCTGCATCGCTGCTGCTCCCCCAGCCCGTCTCCTCCGCCAGCTCCACACCAGGGAGCCACAACAGGCAGCTCCACTCCGCAGGGAGGGGAAAGGCTGGGAGCCCTGCTTTAACACCTGCAGTAAAACCCCACGGTGGGTGGAGCTGGGAGAGGAAAGGAGCTATAAATAGGTGGAGGATAACGTAGTTAAGTCGGAGTGATCTCCGAGACTGTCTGGTCTAACTGGGCTGCTTGGCTGTGAGCGCTGCGTGAAATCGGATTTCTCCAGGCAAAGCAGTAAATCCTTCTCCTCAGGGTCACCCTCATGCCAGGTGAGAGCAGCCAATGAATGACATTGAAGGGGGAACGTTGACCAAAGGTGGGGAGAGGGAGAACCAGTTTGAGAACAGGAGTGGGCAGCAGTGCTACAGCCCAATGCAAAGCATGGACGTGCTCACCATGCTGAGCCCCAAAACGCCTTTGGCCAACACTAAACAAATGAGGAGCCTCCAAGAAGTCAAGGTGAGAATGGAAACTGCACCCCAGCAAGGGAAGGAGTCAATTAAAGAAGAAGAAAGCCTCTCTGGAAGCACTCAGCCTTATTTTTGAGGAATTTCTGCCACTGGGCAGGGAGATGCCCCAGGAGATGAACTGCAGGCACCTGGCTGAACAGGGGAGTTCACTTCAGTCACTAAAAGGAAGCAAACTGCCAAGAGCTCCTCTGTCTTGGCAGGAGGGAGCAGGAATTTTCCTTTAATTAATAAAGCACTACTTCCACCTACCTAATCTGGAGAGAAAACAACAATGTGAACAGATTGAAGTGTCTTGAGAAGGGTGGATCTCGCTCATGGAAATTAACAGTTAAGCACCTTAGCAAGATGCTGAGGTTGGATTTTGGTTTTCTGCCCCTCACAGCTGCAATAATTACCAGGTTTGAACTGACGCTGTGTAACTGCTCCTAAAATATAATTTCCAAAATAAAAGCAGGTTTGATCTCACCACCCCTAAGCCACTCACAGCTGCTTACCCTGATCTGTGGTACGTGATGCAGACCCTTTCTCAAATTCTCCACCAGGCCCTGGGCAGCAGGAATGTACAGGGTGTGCAGGACAGCAAAACTGTCCCATGGAGCTCCTCCTGCTGCCAGGACAGCAAAGCAGCTGCTGGATGCTTCCACATAACCTTATTCCTCCACACCAGTGAGCAGTGCTGACCCTTCGGCCCCAGCTCTCGTGTCACAGGAAGGGTGGGGATCTACCCAACCCCCTTTCCTTCCCTCCAGTTTCAAAGTAGGCTTTGGCTCTGAAGAGAGCAAAAAAAAAAAAAACAAAAAACAAAAAAAAACGGAACTAGCCCATGTGTTTCAGTGCATCTAGGAAGTTGCAGGATCAACTTTTCCTAGCATCAGCCCCAAGCTCTTCCCTTTGGCATGCAGCAGGAAGAACAGACAGAGGTCCCTGGAGCTGCTGCAGCCACTGAGGAAATCACTGAGGCAGACTCACCCCAGCTGGTCCCACGTGCAGCAGCCCCTCTTTGTGATGAATACCCCCACACTCCTTTTCCTAGTAATTTACTGATCCACATGGCACGAGCCAGCTTTGCTCGTGCTTGAATATTCCAGCCTCTCTTGGTTCTCAGCCTTGGAAACTCATGGACAAGACTTTGCCACTTCATTAATTCCTCTACTCCCCCAGCCTATAAATCAAGTCAATTCTGAACTACTCCTTTGCTCCAGGGAAGATCCAGGAATGAAAATACCATCAGACATACTGAACTCCAGACAGCTCTGGTCTGAGGTGAGGGCCAGCAGCTGGCCCAGGAGAAGGTTCACCATGTACCTGGGGGAAATACATCCCCCAAAGCTGTGCCCAGAGGAAGCTGCTGGAGACTTTCTTCTAAGATTGAAGCTGAAGTACCAGCCCTTCTCCTCCCTCTGCTGTGTGAGCTCCTCTGCCTGGGGGCTGACTAAGATCCACAGAATGTCCTGAGTTAGAAGGGAACCATAAGGATCATGAGTACAACTCCTGGACTCCTCAACAATCCCACCCCATGCCTGAGAGCAGTCTCCAAACACTCCTGGAGCTCTGGCAGCCTCGGGGCCATGACCATTCTCTGGGGAGCCAGAAGTGCTGGGATCTGGGACCACTGCCACCAGCAAAGGAGGAGCTCTCTGCCTTCAGTCCCACGTAGGCTGCTGCTGGCAGGGGGAAACCAGGGCTCCTGAAGAGCTCCCATTGTCCAGTGCCCACACACAGCCCTGGAGGAGCAGCCTCCTCTCTGGGGACTGCAGGATGTGACTCACACCCTTAAACACCAAGGAGCTCAGGGGCAGCTGCAGGAGCTGGGGCTGTGTGGGGGCATCGAGCTGGAGGAGAGCACTTCAGACATCCTGAAGGAATGGGCAACCCTTGGCCCCCCACCAATCCTGCCTCTATGCACAGCAGCTCTCCCCTGAAGGAGGCACATGCTCAGGGAGGCCAGGGCAAGCAGGGAATGGTGTGCAGGGCTGGGAGGGTGCATAGCAGCTTAAGGTTATAAAGTCCCAGAGCAGGTTGGGATAGCTAAGAATGCAGAGGGGAGTGTCTGATGGTGCTATGCTAGCCAAGGAAGGGAAAGGAGCTCAAGCATTTGTGTGATCTAGCCAGCCCCCAGCTCCAGGCAGGGTGGCAGGACCTGAGGCCATGCAAAACCAAGTACCAAGAGCATGGCTGGAATTCACTAGGCTGAGATGACCCTGAGAAAAGAAATAACCCCAGGAAAGGAAGGGAAAAATCCTCTATTTTTCCACAAGGCAGCAGGGGAAGAGCAGACAAGCAACAAGACACCCACCTCAGGCAGACAGAGCACTGAAATCCAAGCTGCAAAAGCCAACTCAACGAGAGCTCCAGGGCTCAAGTGCAGCAGGAGCAATTGAGCTGGAACACTCTGTGCTGAGCACACACAGTGTCCTGTGCAGGTGTCCTGCACACAGCTGGGGACAAGACAAAGTTTTGCTGCTCCTTCTCCTTGCCCTCACCTGCCAAGCCAGCCCAAGTGCCGCAGTCTTGGCAGGAAGTGAAGGTGTCAGCAAGTTCCAATTCCTTGCAAAGCTTCTAGCAGGGAGGGCTGGGAAGGCACCTCCAAGGACAGACTGAGGCAGGGCTATAACTGGAGGGATGGGACAGGGGTTGGTGAATTCAGCTGGGAGGGGAGAAGCTTTTCCAGCCCTCGTGCTCCACCACAGAGTTCCTGGGGTCCTGTGACTCAGAAAGCTCTGCCTTACCTGCCAGGTAAGTCCTCAGGTGTGCAAGGCACGAGGATGACAAGCAGTGTGAAAGCACTGCACGTGGGAGGACAGAAAAGGGAGCAAAGGGTGAAACTCACCCACCCAAATGTTTGTTCTGGGGCAGAGGGAAGAGAGTCAGATATTCTGGTCTTGCAGGAAACTGAGGGGACAGGAAGCTTTAAGTGAGCTGTTTTCCAGGTCTTGGTGAGAAATAGAGCAGTACACCACTTGCAGAGATATCACTAGCTGAAATACACTGTCTGGAAGCAGATTTCCAGATGGGCTATTAACGAGGTAACAAGATAATTGAACCTGGAGCCCTAGACAAGCACAGAACAGGATCTCACACTCCATGCTACAAAGCCCAGAACAGCAGCACATGTCTCTGGCCACAGACACCAACATGCAATGGCAAGCTTGAGGGTCTTTACCTTTTTCAGCTGCCTTGAAACTGGTTCTGGCCCAACTTTAGCCCAGAAGAAACTCATATACAGCAGCTGAATTGAGCTAAGCTGCATTTAATGCCCAGCACTGACTTCATATATAGGCAGGCAGAGGAAGAGGTGTCTGAAGCCTGAAGTGAAAGATTGATAGGAGAAACAGATGTACTGCAGAGCCAGCTTAGCCACAGAACAACTACCATCAAAGCCTGAACAAAGTTTCCTCTTCTCCCTTGCACTGGACACTGGAAACCAGTGACAGATAATCCAGGGAGCTACTGGAAATCTATCCCAGTCACTTTGAAAGAGGGGATTACACAGATCTGAAAGGGCAATCAGCATCTTAATCACAAGCTGGAGGGAGAAAAAGAGGAGAAGCAGGAAGGTTTTTTCAAAATAAGAGTAAACTTCAAACCTCATCTCCACCAACAACTGCAAAGCAGTAGCTGAACGAGCATGAAAATGGCAACAAGGGCACTGCTGCAGAAGGCTCTGAGTAAACACACATTTAAGAAAACCCACACAACGAAATCCCCACAACCCCAGTGCTCTACTAAGTTAATTAGCACTGCTCCAGTGAAGTGCAATGTGCTGGTGTATCCCGCAGTTCCTGGCCAATTGTGGGTGACTCTGGAGCACACCATGGCGTGGGTGGGCTGGCAGGGCCCTCTGAGCCCCAGCAGCAAGGAAATGCCACAGAGACACTCACAGGGGAAGAAACCAAACAACACAAACCACAGCATCCAATCCCGAGCAGCTTTACCAGCAGATCTCATTTCCAGATCTTTTCCTCCCCGTGTTTATAATCCTTGCAGCAGAGTTCTGTCATCCTACTCAGCTCACAGGCTGCCCCAGCTACAGAAGATGTCAGGCTGAAAAATCACCCCGACAGACTGCCTGCTGAGACCAGTTGCATTATAAAAACAGGAAGCTCTTGCCTGCCTGCTCCCAATATGCTATGGATTTAATGGGAAGGAGCATAAGCAGGGATGCTTTGCAAGAAGAGCACACACATGGGACTCCTGCCAGGAAAAATGCATCTTGAGTAACACATGTGCTCTTAGTTTCCTCTTTTTTCACAAGGGTTTAACTACACTCTGAGCTACCCAGCAGCAATAAACCACTTTTTTCCCCTCTTTCTCACTTATAGCAGAGTGTTGCTTGGTAAACAGCAGATCTTCCTGTCTGAGGCTGTGCCAGCCTGTGCTGAACAGAACTGTTGTTATTGCACATTCACAGCTAGAGATAAACATGAATAAGAGCCACGAGTAACAGCCAGGCACTGGCTCTTCAATACACTGCTTTATCAGCTTCACCTTGATTCAAATGTTTCTGACATCTCTCCCTCCTGAAGGGGCAAGATGGCACAAGTAGCAAGGACAAACATTAAAAAAGAAGACAGAAATGACAGCAGCACAAAAAGCACTCTTCTGTACTTGTACATTCACAAACTGGGCAGCTCACAGCTCCACCTGCACTTGAAACACTCAAAAGCACAATAAGGAAACAAATGGGCCCAGCCAACCCAAGCTGCCCAAATGGGTAAACAAAACAGCCTTCAGCACATTTCTCAGGACAAATCTCCATCCAGAGCCACAACTGCTACAGGACATAAAGGTTACAGAGAACCAGGGAAGGTAAAAAATGTGCAAGTCATCATCTCATCTGCAAACTGACACTCTGCAACGACACAGGCACAACAAACCAACCCAGGAAAAGTGGACACTGGAAGTGTGAGGAGGGTTTCTAACCTTTCCAAGAGCAGATCTCTGGACCAGCTACTCCAGAAGCACTGGGGAAAAAAGCACAGCATGAGTTCCAACAATTCGTTCCAGGAGAAGTTCATGACCTGCATGAGATGACTGCTCATCTTCAGCAGCACGGAACTGGACTTGATGACCCATGAAGTTCCTTCCTCCCAATCACTCAGCAACCCAAATTCACAGAGGCCCAGACACAGCACAAACACGAGGTCATTCCCAAAAGGACAGCAGGGATTGTATCTTCAGATCATGCTAAGCTGACAGATAAGCAGATGAAGGGCTGGCCACTGCAGAATAGAGGGGAAGAGAACTGCAGCAAGAAACAGTCTCACAGCCAGTGAAAACTCAGGGCACAGACTTGGAAAGCAAAGTCTGAGAGACAGGAGGTAGAGATGTTCCCTGAGCACACTGTCCTCAGACACTCCAGTCACAGCTTTCATTCTAACACAGATTAGACAGACAGTAAATATATCATTTGCCCAAGACACATCCAGTTGCATCCCTTCCTAGAGACAGCTCCAGTCCTCACTGCAGCGCCCTGCCCAAGCCACACAGGCAGCAGCACCTGGCTGTCTCCTGCCATTTTAATGCAATTTGGCTTTCCCTGGCTTTCATCAGGCACCACGTCCCAGTTTCCAACCAACTGGCCTAGATTTAAGCCAACACATCTCTGGCTGTGCCTCAGGCAAGCAGAGAGGTGGGAGAAGCCTGACAGACAATGGTGCCATTTGGCATTTCCATCACAAACAATCAAGAGATAAAACACAAGAACTGCTGAGAGCTGCACAAGAGGCTCCTGCCTTCCCCAGGAGCACAGGAAACCAGAAGAGAATAGGGAGGTGGGACAGACTCAGGGGGCAGAGAGGAAGTCCCTTGTCTAGAATTATAGAATCACACAATGGTTTGGATTGGAGGGAACCTTAAAGCCCATCTCCTACCACCCCCTGCCACCTTCCACTAAACCAAGCTGCTCCAAGTTTCATCCAAGCTGCCCTTGAACACTTCCAGGGATGGGGCAACCACAGCTTCTCCAAGCAACAGGAAGCACAGCTCACCACAATCATTTAATGCAAAAGCACTGCATTACTGCTTACCCCCTCTACCTCCAGATGACACCTGAAAAACACATCAATCCTTCTGCACATTCATGTGGCAGCCATGCCATTGCTTCTGTTAGGAGATTATATTGTATTGAAATTATAGGTGTGGAGTAACACCTGGTACAAGGAAGTGATACAAACAAAACAGTGCCTGACACCACCACAACCCTCCCCTCTCCCCACCAGAGTAGTTTTACTGGCTCACTGTCTCCATCACAAGTGCCTCCTCTTCAGCTACACCAGTACAGCTGGAATTGTAGGATGTGTTCAATTCCACACACCTTAGGCAATATCTTGTGGCAACAGTCATTTGAACAAACACAATGGTCATATGAGGAAAAGGCTGTACTCTGAGAGGGCTGAAACACAGCACAGATGGTTTGAGTAATGGTGGAGCAAAGCCAGCCACGAGAGGTACCTCCAGCACGGGGAGGGAGCTGAGCTTTAACCAAGGGCTGCTGGCTGCATCCTGAACCAAAAGTGCAGATGGAGAGGAGATCATGTTACTGGAGTCACTCCCTCGTGCCTTGCAAGACACATCCAGCTGCCTGAGCCTCGTGTGGTGCTGCACACCCCCAGGCTCCCCTCCAGCAGGCTCTGCTTGCTAAGACATGGCAAGGTCAGGCAACAGGAACAAGGGCAATAGCTTTTGGAAGACATTCCAAGGCTGCATCAAAACAGATCCAAGAGCAGGAATGCCACCTCATCCCTCTCACCCATGAGAACACGCTGTGGTGGAGATCTGACCAATACCTGCCTGGTGACTGTCACCACCTGAACACCAGAGTGCTCATGGCCTCCAAAGCTATGAGAGGTTCCTGCAGATCTTCTGCTGTGCCTGGACACCAGCAACACATAAACATCCAGCCAGACCAGATGGGCCAACATACAGCAAGCACTGGTGTCCATTTGATTAATCCAAAGCCCCAGTCTGGATGAGGCCACATCAACCTGGATCATTTGAATCCAAGGACAACACCAGCACACACTGCAAACGTATCCTGACGGTCCAAGCTCAGGCTGCCTTCCCACCACCTCGTCCTGCCTCCATAGCACAGGCTCTGAGTGCCCAGGCTGAGAGCAGCCCAGCTACATAAGGCACAACACAGTCACCTCTCTGTCCCAGGGGGCTGGGAACTGCCACAGTTCTGTGGTTACTGCAGGCAAAGCTCTGCAAAGTTTCTTCATTTATTGCCCTGCCTCAAACACACTCTGCAACAGTCATGCAGTTTCCACTGCTTAAGATTGCAAGGTGCTGGAAGACCCCACAGTTTCTCTTCCACTCTCACAGTTTCTTCTCCACCATGAGAGAACCAGAGGACATTGGCATCCCCACCCATTTAAGCGTGCAGCCTGCACACAGACAGCATGGAGACACTCAGAGAAGGAATTCAAACAAGGAAAAAAGACAAGAAAGAGAGGCATGAGAGACACGAAGCAGGGTAACTGTGCTCACAAACCAGACGAGAGAAATCTCCTTCCTTCCAGCCCCTCCCAGCCCAGCTGAGTCAGAAAAGCCTCTCACCCAACACAATTCCTGCTTGGCAGGTACAGGGGCAGTCGCTGGAGGGTCAGCTTGGTGTCCCTGGTCCCGAGCAGCCACTGCTGGCACCCGCTGAGTGGAGCATGCTAGAAGGTCCCTGCACCAAGCACTGGGAGCACACCAAGCCAGGAAGGAGCAGCTGCTGTCCCGAGCTGCTGGACAGAGAGAAAAAAGGCATATAAGAAAAAATGACTGCTGAGACTCCAGGCCCATCAGCATGGCACCAGCAGAGACAACCAACCTTACATTTTTGGTCCCTCAATGAGTATCCTCTTGAACTCCAGCACACAGAGGGCTCTGTGCTTCCCAGGACATCCCAGCTGGAGCTCGGTCCCTCCTGGAGACAGCTTTTGGGTCAGCTCAGACTCTTCACTTGTGCTCTCAGAACCTCTGGCTGTGACTTTATAGTTCCGTGCCCACCACTGGCCCCACTCCCTGCCAGCAGCTGCTGCTCAGCATCCTGGTGTGAGTTGTTATCAGAGCAGGGAGTGCCACGCCTCGGGAGCACAGCAGGATGGAGTGGAGGAGGACTCTGGACAGCTCTCAACAATTAGCAACAGGGCAGGAGCTCCCGAGGGGCTGGACGGGAACGCAGCGATGTCTGGTGGGGCACGCTGCCTGAATGTTCAAATACAGAAACAGATGTTAATTACTCTGCATAGCCAGGACATCATTAGCAGCTACATCTCCTGGAGATTCTGAAGTACAAATTCCTCTGATTATGCCAAACATGCCCATCCCACCCCCAGAAGCCATGACGTTTGAGTAGTTGCCTCGGCAAACCTCCCTCCTCCGAGATATTTTCCCCTTTCTCCTTCATACTCTCTGCTCTCAAAACAACCTGTTTTAATGAAATTCCAGCTTTGGGAAAGTGCTGTCTCCTTTGGGACAGGCTTTTAGCAGATGGAGGCAACAAGAACCCTTGTACATAAGTGTCTGGCTCTCCACCACACTCTTACTTCCTCTATTTCAGGTTGGGGTGGGAGGACAAAAATAAGGATTCAGCTGGCACTATGTGAACAGCCTCTTTAGCAGCATGGCAGAGCAAGAGAACCCATTCTGCCCCCTCACCTTGCTCACCATCCCCACAGCCACAGCATCAGATGCAGCTTGATACACCTGGGGTAGGTGATGGTGAACTCACAAAGAGCTTTTCTCTTCCAGCACTCCCCACCACTGGGGAGAGAGCAGAGGGAGGAACGGGCAAGTGACACTCAGGGACCAGTGATGAGTAAATAAGCGATTGATTTAGGAATCCTTCAGGTTCAAAAGGACCACCCTAATCCTTTTAGCTCAAGGGTCTGGGCAGCTACCCAGGGAATTCCAGGCACACAGCACCTCTAAGGTACTCACTGAGCTGCTCCCACACTGGAAGGAGATTCAGGAGAGTAAACGAGGGAGTGAGACCAACACCAGCAGACAGAGCATCCCCCAAGTGCCACATCCCATCATTATCCTTGCATACATACACCATGGGATAGGAAGGGAAAGCAGTCAGCACTCAGCAGCTCAGCACAGACCTGCTGGGCTGGGCTGGAATTCCAAGGACTTCCAGAGCTCTGCCTGCTGGCCAGAGTCTGCAGGAAGCAGACTGACTAGGGCCAAGCTGGAGAGCAAGACCTTGATCACATCGGTGCTGCAGCCTCTGTGGATGGCCAAAGGAGAGGACAGAGCTCAGCATACAAGGACCCTGGTGCTGTGCTCCCACTTCCATGGAGCAGCACAAACATAGGGAATTTGCTGCCAGTTAAATTGTCCATGAGTAACTTTCTCTGTTCTTTCTCTGTTTTTGTTACAGGAGCAGAAGGACACAAGTTGGGAAGCTGCCTGTGATATCCTCAGTAAACTGAAATCACCTGGGCTGGGACTGGGAACAAGATGCTAAAGGGGAAACTCTGGTGCTGATGCCTGGAAAGGCTGACATGGAACAGAGACTAGGCAGAGCAAAAGGAATATAATAGGAATTTATTGAAATGATACACCTTGGGCACTGCAAGAGCCTGGCCAGGGACACCCAAGTCAAATCCATGATGGATTCAAGTCACGAGTTTTACACTTATAAAAGTTTTGGCTCATCTACATATTGGGGTCAATTGTTCAACCACAGCCCCAGGCTATGACGTCTCAGCCCCCTGGCTTGCCCTCTTCCCTTTGATGTTGTTTCTGCTTTTTGGTACTGGGTGTCCTTGAGTCTCTAGCTGGGAAGGGATTGTTTTGTCTAACTACTCTGTGAAGAGAACTTACTAACACCTAATATGAAGTTTCAGAGTTATATATTAAGCAGTAGAGGATCTGAAAAATATAAAAGCTAAAACCCAAGGCATCATTGCAACTGGAAGCATCACATCAGAAATGCAGCTGGGCAGCATCATTGGAGAGGACAACAATTTTTTGTAAGGTCTTGGTATCTATTTCACCAAATTGAGAATGCACTGATAACCCTGAGGTTTGGCAAGGGCTGCTCACACCAGGGCTGGGGCAGGACACAAGCTCAGTGTCCTGACACAGTGTCACTGTCACCATCCCTGATGCTGAGCCTGCTCAAGCCCACAGCATTTCCTACAAAAGGGGTTGCACTGCAGGAACAGAAAAGCTCTTTCTTTTTTTATGAACACTCATTAGAGTTTACACCGTTGGCAAAGTGTGGAGGCACGCTTTTGTGGAGGAACAGAGATATGGTTCCAACACTGGTTTTAATGTGCAAGCCTAAAGACTCGGCTTCAGTTTTTAGAAATCAAACTTGATCATCTCAAGCTGGCAAAAATAGCCCCATGTTCCCTTGAGTTATTTTCTTTTCAAATAGGCAGGGTACAGCACAATAGGAAATATCAGCAGTTATGTATTCAACCTCCAGAAACCCAACGGGCCAATTCCAGCAACCCACGGCAGCTTTCCAATCCTCCCTGATCTATTTGCTGGAGTTAGTCTGAAAAGCAGGCTGCCCCCAAGCCATTCAGCAAACTCCACATCCCGCTAATTACATCAATATAAATGTATTATCTTGGCTGTCAAACACGGGCTGCCTGAACAGGACAAGGCTCTGCCATGGAAATGCAGGAAAACAATTGCTCTTTCTGCTGGTGACACATTTCTCTGGATCTTATTTCCTTGCCAGGGCTCCCCCTTCTCCCTTCTGCCCAGGCACCAGGGCACCAGCGTTGTTTTCTTCCAGAGCAAGAGGAAATGGCACACAAAAACCCTGCTCATCTTTTAAGTAACTGAACACGAATGAATTTTGGGAGCACCACGAGCATTTCCTATCAGCCAACCTGAGACCTGCCAGCACACAGGGAAGGGAACGGTGAGGGCAAGAGTTAAATGCTTCTTGTGAGCAGGCAGCAGCTCTTCTGCCTCTCTTGGCTTCCTCAGCTGCCATTGCTAAATGCAAGGCAAGTGTCAACGCTCCAAACAGCAAATGTGACAGAAATTTGGAGCAGCCTGCTCCTCCCTGCCCAGCTTGGTGACTGTGGCCTGGAGAGGAGGGAGCCTCTCAGGAGCAACCAGCAAGGTTGAGGCAAGCACAGGCAGATGCAGAGGCTTCCAGGGAGCAGGGAGGCAGCTCCAGAGAGTGGGATTATGACGGAAAATGAGGAGGAAGCCACTGACTCACCTGTCCTACCCGCGTAAGCAGCTTTCCCACCAAAGGCTGCGTGAGTGTGACCTTGCTCAGAGCCCCAGGTTCCAGCAAATCAGGGGCTCACAGGGCTCCCCCCAGTTCTGGGCACTGGGAGAGAGCCATGGTAGCAGGACACTGAGCTGGCACATGCTTTTCAAATCTGCCTCCACTGACTGCAGGCAGCCACAGTCCCTCACCCCAGCCTCCCTCTGCTTCCTAAAAACCCTCACTTGGAGAAATGCCACAGGGTCTGGTCCTTCCCAGACCCCCCCCGCTCACAGGGAGGGTCAGAACGAAGCCAGAAAAAACCAAGCCTGGATTCAGATGAAGCAGGAAGATGGGAGGAAAACAGCATTTCTCCACCTAGGAGCAGATGATGTTTCCATATTGAGGATGAACACAACCATGGACACACAGCACAAGCTGAGCCTCCCTCTAGATCTCACATGCAAGCAGTGCAAACTTGGAAAGCTCCCACAAAACCTCCAGGACAGAGGAGAGCAGCGTGTTTTCCACGAATTAAAGCCAACTGCACTCAGCTGGCTGAGGGAACACGAGGGCCGTGACCACTTCCCTCTGCAAAGCCAGCGGAATTCCGAGCAAAGATAAAGGGTGCCTAGAGCAAATATAAGAGGGGAGCAAGCCAGGAGAGTGAGGGGTCATCAGTGCATCTGCTGAGGGCATCCAGGCTCCTCTGTGGGGTCACCCAGCCCTTCCGCCACCATGAGACAGCTCCGAGCCTGGGCTCAATGCCCGACTGTTTTACGTGCAACTTTAGCCCTTTAGGGTTGTTTTCCAAGATTTATTCCCATTCAGGAGACACCGTGCCTGGCCCATGCCTCCAGTTCCCTTATGCACCAAGTCATCAGGCTGGAGGAGGCTGCTCTCCCTCCTGCCAAAGCAATCAGGCTTAGCAAACCCAGCCAGTCACATCAAACCTTCAAAGGGCTCACCAGCCATTCAACCTGTCCTGGGGAAGGAAGCAATGTTGGGCTTTGCCTTCTGTCTTCAACTGTTAAAGCCTTGGACACAAACAGAAGCTGATGCAACTTGAAACGAGTTAATATCCCATATACATAAAATCAGGGTAATTTGAATCATGCCTTGGACAGGTTATGCTCAGGCAGAGCTCAGCCCTGCTCTGGTGCACTCAGGACCATGAGCCAGACTGTTTAACAGGATCTCAAAAAATGGCCAGACAAAAGCCACCAGCAGACTCTCAGAGTCACAGGCAGCCAGTCTGTCACTGCAGCTCTGCTCCAGTTTAGGGAAGAGCATAGCCCTGAAGCACAAGTCTCTCCAAGTCCCAGGTGACAACGTGCAAAGCATGGCAAGATCTCTACATTCAGAGCCACAGTCTGGGATATGCACCCCTCACCTCCACCTTGGCTCCCTCCGAACACATCTCCCAGCCTCCATCAGCTCTTGACCAACCCACAGCAGTGCAGCACTGTCCTGCACCAGTGCCACCCCAGGCCACGTGCAGTGAGCAGTTCCCAGATAACCTTCTGTGCGACCATGAGAAGCCAGCCAGCCGCATCCCAGGCCTGCAGGCCAAGCTTCAGCGAGATTCCCAGCTGGAAAAACGCTTGGAGGAAACAGTATGACATTTCAAACACGACGTTCACATTATCCCATCTCTGCTAACAGGCCCACGGATGATCACCCTGAACAGTTGTTTCCTGGTGCCTGGGGGGATGTACCCCAGGAGCAGGGAGAGGAGAGAGCTCACTAAATGGAGAGGCTGGCAAGTACAGAGCTTCTTCCATCCTCTAAGATTCCTACATCCAGGACCTGGAGGCTGAGATGCTTCAACTGCAGCTGAGCTGACATGCAGCAAAATCCAAGGGTCTTGATGAGACAGTGGGACCCAACAGCCTTAGGATGTTCAAGACCCAAGGATTAAGAGCCAGCCAACTGATTCTAAAGGGCAAACTCGCAGAGGCTTGAGAAACTCTGCATAAAACCCTGTTCAGCCCCAGCACGGGGACTAAGCTGGAGGCGAGACTGAAGACGTGAAGGGCAGGCAGCCCGGGGTGCTGGGGGCTCTGCCGTGCTCCAGCCCGGAGCAGGAATTCGGAGATGCCCCGAGCGGGGTTCCCCTGCCCGCGGGAGCACCCGGGAGCTGTGATCTCTCCGCAGCGGGCGCGGGGCGAAGGCAGGTCAGGCACTGCAGCCTAACGCGGGCAACCGCGGAGCTTCCCCGTTCCCCTGGCTGCTGCACGACCCTCAAGCCCGTTACAAACCCGCCGGCTGTGCGGCCGGGCCGGCTGGCGAGCGGGGCCCCCGCAGCCCCGAGGACACTCCAAAGCCCCGGGCAAGGCGCCCCGGCCGCCGCACAGCCGTGAGCCGGGACCCCGGCACCGCCCGCCCTCCCCCGGCCGCCCCGGCCTCCAGCTCCCGCTCGGGCCCACCGGCAACAGGTGGTGCGGGGCGGCCCGGGGGTGGCCGGGCCCAACCGGCGCCTCCGGCCGGGAGAGCCCCAGGCGACCCCCGGCGCGGGCGGGAGCCGCGGCCCGCGGGGCTGCGGCGGGAGGCCCCGGGCGGGCGGCCCGTCCGTCCCCGCTCCCTCCCCCGCGCCCCCGTCGCCGCTCACCTGGGGGTGGAGGCGCCGCACTGCCGTTCTGTGCCGCCGGCCCCGCGCGTTCCCCCGGGCGGAGCAGCTCGCGCCCGCACCGGCCGCCCCGCCGGCCCTTCCTCCCGCCCGCCCGAGCCCCGCGCCCGCCCTACGCCGCCGCCGTGGCGCAGCGCCCCGTCCCGGCCGCGGGCGTGCGGCGCGCAGACAGCGCAGGGACCGTCGTGAATAGCGCGGCGGGACTACGAACCCCGAGGGGCGCCGCGCGCAGGAAGCGGAAAGCGAAGGCCGAGCAGGGCACCGGGAGCGGCGGTTGGGGGCTGGGACAGGCCCGGCGAAGCCCCGGGCAGCGGCAGTGGTTCGGGTCCGAGGGAATGGCGAGCTCTGGGCGCGCGGAGGGCGGGAGCCGGAGCCGCCGGTGAGGAGCGGAGGGCGCTGTACGGCGGGAGTGGACTACGACTCCCAGCGTGCCTTGCGGCTCGTGGGAGAGCGCCGCCTCCCGGCCGGGGGTCGCGGCGCAGGCGGCGCTGCGCTCGGGGGCGGCGGGATCAGCCCGGGCTGAGGTTCCCGGAGGGTCCTGGGGGAGTCTTGGTGTGTTCTGGGGTTCCTTTGGCTCCGTTCGTCCGGGTCGCGGTTTGGGAAAGGCGGGTGCGTGGCTCTGAGCCCTCACACGGCGGCTCCGTGCGCCCCTGAGCGCCCCTGCCCGCTCCCCTGGCAGGCGCCGCCGTGAGGGGATGGAGGATCCGGGCGTTCCCTGTG